ATCTAAAAATAATAGAATTCCACAACTTAATGAGAAAAATAATAAATAACCCGAGGGCTTTGGAGAGACAAAGGATAGGAACAGGCATTTCAAGTAATAAGAATAGTCGGTAAACATTTGAAAACAGGGAAAATGAATAAACTCAAATTCATTGGCATTTCAGAGATGTGAATGTAAAACCACAATGAACTAGCATTTCACCCCACCACATGAGCAGATATTAAAGAGCTGAGTGTTACCTCATGCTGGCAAGACTCTAAAATAACAGGAATTGTCATCAGTTGCTGGCAGACGTGTAAATTGTTACGGCCACACTGGGAAACAATTTGTTATTACCTAATAAAACTGAACAGGCTCCTACCCTACGGCCCATCAATTCCATTCCTAGGTGTATATCCTGGAGAAACTCTTGTCCATGGGCACAGGGGACATGTACAGGAATGTTCAGAGCAGCACTGTTCATAACAGCCCCAAACTAAAAGCCGCCCAAATGACATATAAACGATAGAATAGTCCCATGGTGGTATATTCCTGCTGTGAAATACGGGACAGGAGCCACAATACACACAGCAAACCTCCCTGTCACAGAATGCACTTATTGTGTGGTCTCTCATGCGACGGTCACAGCAGACAGAACAGAGAAGCGTGTGCAAGGATGTGTACCAGAGTGGGAGAAGCTACCCAGAAAAGCCCTGGAATGATTAGCTCACATTTTATCACTATGGCTACCTCTAGTGCAGTGGTTCTCAACCTTCCTAATACCGTGGCCCTATAATACAGTTCCTCATGTTGTGACCACCAATCACAAAATTATTTCCTTGCTATTTTGTAACTTTATTTTATTTTGCTACTGTTATGATGTGTAATATAAATATACGATGGGCAGGCTCTCTGATATGCGACCCCTATGGGTCACAACCCACAGGTTGAGAACCACTGCTCTAGAGGTGGGGGGGAAGCCATGTGGCTATTGAGAAAGATGCTGAGAGCTGCTAAGTACAATCGCCAATTTCTATCTGTAGTCTGAGTTGAGTGGCATTGATGCACACATCCCCTATACTATTATGTAAGTGGTACATAAAATCATATATCTACTTGCTGTGCACATGATGTATTTGTGATTTAGATTTTTAATAGGAAATAGAAGTAACAAGAAAGAGGAGCGAGTAAAGGACAAACACAGCATGGCCAAAGAGACCGCATGGCTGAGCTGAAGAATAGGAGTAGAGGAAGGTGTGGTGGTTTGAATAAGAAGGACCCCCATAGACTCATATATTTGAATGCTTAGGGAGTGGCATGAGGAGGTGTAGCCTCTGCTGCCTTCGGATCCAGATGTAGAACTCTGTTACCCCCCCCCCCCCCAGCACCATGTCTGCCTACATGCCAACCTGCTCCCCACATAACAATAATGGCCTAAACCTCTGAACCTGTAAGCCAGCCCCGATTAAATGTTTTCCTTTATAAGAGTTGCCCAGGACATGCAGTCTCTTCACCCCAATAAAACCCTAACTAAGCAGAAGTTGGTGCCAGGATTGTGGGATATTGCTGGGACGGACTTGACAAGGTTTTCGGGAGGCCTGAAGAAGGACTGTGGAACTTTGGGCTAGAAGAGTCATTGAGTATTAAGAGTTCAGTGAGCTGTTTTGTCGGAGATTTGAAGACAGGAGTGTTGAGAGCAGTGCAGACAATGACGGCCTGGTTTGTGAAGGTTCAGAGGGAAGCAAAGATTCAACCAGGCCCTTTGTGTGAAGAATCTGTGGTTCTGGTCAGCTGGGGCTGAAGAATCAGCTGTGATTAGCTAGAGACCAGGACCACTAAATCACCATTGTTTTAATGGTGTAATCAATGCTGGTTAGCTGGAGCTGAGAAATTACTGGTGATTAAAAAAAGACCAGTGTCCAGTGGTGGTGGCACATGCCTTTAATCCCAGCACTCCAGGAGGCAGAGGTAGGCAAGAATTCGAGGCCAGCCTGATCTACAGAGTGAATTCCAGGACAGGCTCCAAAGCTACACAGAGAAAACCTATTGGGGAGGGGGGCAATATCATGAGGTGAAATCTTCTGGGAAGTGTTTCCTGAGAGCACACAGAAGCTGTGTTCCAGAGGTAGCCAAGGTTGTACCTCAAGCTGGTAGCCGGACTTGGTAATGCAAGAGTCACCCAGGTGGTACTGATTTTGAAGGCACAAAGGGATATGGAGAGCAGCTAAGGCTTGGCATTGTGAGAGGCCAGGAGAGGCCATTGAGGAAGGTGCAGCCTCAGTAGTAGTTGAAGACCCAGAACTGAATGGACCATGCAAAGAAGTTAAGGCTTAGCACCATAAAGGGAGCCTATGAGAGGGTATTGGTGAAAGTGCAGCCCAGGTACAGCAGAAAACCCCCAGCACATTGGAGATGCCTGTAACATGAATCTTAAAAGGTCTTATAATAAAAAACCCAGAGCCAGATATTGGGGTAAAAGCTGAAAGATGAAAGAAGCAACACAACCACCCACTAGCTTACCTCTACGAAATCCTCAGCCTCAAGAGAGCGAGTTCCTGTTTCCACACACCTTATATACCTGTCCTGCCATATTACTTCCTGGGATTAAAGGCATGTGTCACCACTGTCTGGTTCTGTTTCTCTCTAGTACCCTGGTGTGGCCTTGAACTCACAGAGATCCAGACAGATCTCTGCCTCCCAAGTGATAGGATTAAAGGTGTATGCCACCACTGCCTGACTTCTATGTCTAATTTAGTGGCTGGCTCTGTCCTCTGATCCCCAGACAATCTTTATTGGGGTGCATAATATATCACCACGGATGCCAGAACCATGGAATGACTACCGAGAACAGCAGGAGCTGTGGGGAGTGAATCCTGCCCAAGCTTGGAAGACAAGCTGTGTGTGATGCAGAGGGCAGGGCTAGAGAAGTGACTCAATCTCTTTGAAGGAGCCCAGAAGATTATGAGTGAATTCAAGATAGTGGACATTGCTTTGATCTAATTGTGACTGTGCCCTGGTATTTCATTCTTAAAGTAAGAATGTATTTAATTTATTTTTGATTTTATGAGATCCCACAGCTGAGAGATTAAATTTTAAGAGATTTTAGGCTGTAAAAGAGACTTTGAAATTTAAAAAACAAAACTGAACTTTAAAGTGTTTGAATTTGTAAAGACTGTGGGACGTTTTAAGTTTATAAAATGTTTTATACTGTGATATTGGTATTAACATGTCACCTTAGGGAATGAACAAAAAAGGAAAGGTTGTGGCTTAACAGTGATGTGTTTGTGTGTCAGGTTGCCAAGAAGTCGATTGTGCTGGATAGTTTTATGTCAACTTGACACAAGCTAAAGTCATTTGAGAAAAGGGAACCTCAATTAAGAAAATGCCTCTATAAGATCAGCACCGTAGGCAAGCTTGTAGGGCATTTCCTTAATTCGTGATTGGTGGGGAAGGGCCCAGCCCATTGTGGGTGGTGTGATCCCCTGGGCTGATGGTCCTGGGTTCTACAAGAAAGCAAGTTGAGCAAGCCGTGGGGAGCAAGCCAGTAAGCAGCACCCTCCATGGTCTCTGCATCAGCTCCTGCCTCCAGGTTCCTGCCCTGTTTGAGTTCCTGTCCTGACTTCCCTCAATAATGAACAGTGACATAGAAGTGTAAGCCAAACAAACCCTTTCCTCCTCAACTTGTTTTTTTGGTTATGGTGTTTTGTCACAACAATAAAAACCCTAACTAAGACAGAAGGTGAGGTTGGAAAGGGGAAGCAGGAAAAATATTCTAAGATTGTTCAGCCTTTCAAATGCTTGCCACACAAGTGAGAAGACAAATTCAATCCCAAGAACCCACATAAAAGCCCCAGATGTAGTGGTGTGTACTTGTAATCCCAGAGATGGCTCACTGACTGGCCAGCCTAGCATAGCCAGCAAGCCCCAGGTCCCAATGAGAGATCCTGTCTCAAAACAGAAAGAAGTGGGGTGGGGGGGGGGGGGACAAGGTAAGGGTTGATGAGATGGCTCAGCAGGTAAAGGTGCTTGCTGCCAAGCCTGATGATCTAAGCTCTGAATTGTACCTCCAGGACCTATATAGTGGAGAAAACCGATTCCGATTCCTGTAAATGGTTTTCTGACCTCCACTTTTGTGTGTGCATGCATGCACGCGTGCACACGCACAAACACACACACGCACGCACACACACACACACACACACACACACACACACACACACACACACACACACACACACACACTTTTTTCTTTAAGCACATCAGCCTGTTAGACATTGGGAAGAATCCTAGAAGAGTAGGCAGAGTTCCGAGGCTTCTGTCATTGCTCTTCTGGTTTTAGCTGGAAGAAATGAAAAGGCTTCAGATTCATGTTCTGTAAGTTATTGAGTACCCTGCTAAGACGTGTGTGTGTGTGTGTGTGTGTGTGTGTGTGTGTGTGTGTGTGTGTGTGTGTGTGTGTGTGAATACTATCAGGAGTGAATGAGCAGGTTGGCTCATATCCTAGACTTCATTTTAAATTGTGCTTGCCCTAGTTAAGTAACTGTTGTCCCCCTAAAGTGTCTCAGCTTTTTTCTGATGAAAAAAAAAAATGGGGATTAATAAGCTACCTCTGGTAAGGACTAAATTTGCTGATACTTACAAGGCGCTTCAAAGTGGGGGGGGGGGGGCGAGCTAAGTCCTGAGTCTCTGTTAGATGTCCTGTCGTTTTAAACGCACAGGTTTTCACACGGGGGCTGGGTGGGGTGGGACAGGAGAAGCTTATAGCTCTGCAGGCTCTAAGTTGGCACCCTGCCATACTCTGCTGCGATCCTTTGAGAACTCAGCCCAGGAACACTACCTGGACAGGCCATAAGACACCTGCTCCACCTCACTCTACCCAAGGCCACAATCCAGAGAAACGGCTGGGTGGGCTGTGCTGGGCATGGCTGTTGTCTTGTGTGTCTGGCTGCTCTGTGATTTGTTCACCTACCTGGCTTGGGGTGCTCACTGGTTCTGTTTGGCTGTCTCTTCTGTCTATATAGGTCAGCACATCTCACCCTGCACCTGCCTCCCTGGGACATTCCACAGCCATGGTCAGTGTGCCCAGCTCCCAGCAACACCTCTCAGCTAACATGTGAGTAAAAAGCTCAGCACCCCCTCCTCCAACTCTGGCACAGAGATCTCATCTTTACAACCCTTTGCCACCTAGTCTCCATGCCCAAACCATAGCATCCAAACAGCTAACCCCACTTCCTTTTCCACCACTGATGGTGATGAGCACAGATGAGAAACATGCAGATTAGAAACTACAGCATTGCTAGGAGATTGAATATTGAGCGGTCTCTATTGTCTCCCTTCAGGTTTAAAATATTGGGTCATAAATTAATATTGACTTACTATAATCAGTAAAAAACAATAAATAAACTCAGCATTGGAGGTAAGAAAAACACTGGCAAATAAGATCCACTTTGATAAGGAGTTTAGGGGTGTCTCCCAGTCCTTAGGATCTCAAAGGACTACCAGGCATGTCTAACCTACAGCCTACATGCCACATGAGACCAAACAGAGCTATGGATACAGCCCAACACAAAATCATAAGCTGACAAAACATTATCAGATCTATTTTGCTTTTTTATTTTTTATAAACTCAATTATACAGTTCTGGGCATAAATTTTGTAGATGACAACATCATGTCACAATGTCAAAAGCTTGGACATGCCTGGCTGAAGTGACCCTGAATCCAGCAAGGCAATCAAGTTCTTCCTTTAATGCCTCTCATGAGGCAGCTGTTCTCATGTCCTCAGCCTCAGCCTCACTGTTCCCCAGTGTCCTCACGTCCGTGACTCATACTTGGACGCCACCTCCCTGACTCCTATGTGAACTTTAGAATACAGTGTCTATTTTCTCCTCACTCACATTTTTCCATGATACAAAACCCATTCTCCTCCACCTACTGTCCAGCCAGTGGAATCACTGCATGCAAAAATAATAAGGATCATCACCCCTGCCTCCGACTTCCTAACGTACACTTTACAATTGGCATCCAGCTATCTCCCAGGCCATTCCGAGAAGTCAAACAAAGCCCTCCTCGCAGTCCCGCAGAGGGTTTCGGAGAGGCTTTTGTGATGACTCTTGTCTCCCGGAGCCTTGCTGTCCTCAGAACAGCAACAGACAGTACTGAGAAAGCACTAAGGTAGACTCTCACACCCCTCTCCCACTGACCCTGTCCTTCAAGTCTCTAATGTGCTGGAGGCCAGTTCCCCATTGTCACGGTGCCCACGGTGGCCTGTCTGATTTCCAGCCATGCGGTGCCCTATGGAGTGGAGAGACGAAGGCAGGATGTCCCCTGGCATGTCAGCCAGGTGGTTCCACTCCTGTCTGCCTTCCCATGGATAAGTTTCCATTTTTAATGGTTTTTGTTGCTAGGTGCTGGCAGGTGAGCTGTAGGGACTGGCCTCCCCCAGCCCCTCCTCAGCTCTGCGCCCTCCTCAGCATCCTCCTCCGCTTCCCTTATGCACGAATTCCTTGTGTTTCCAGGTGTGTAGCCCTGCACTCGTACTCAGCCCACGGACCTGACGAGCTGGACCTGCAGAAAGGAGAAGGCATCAGGGTGCTGGGGAAGTACCAAGATGGCTGGCTGAGGGGTCTCTCCTTAGTCACGGGGCGAGCTGGCATCTTTCCAAGTGACTATGTCATCCCTGTTTTCAGGTACATCTCCAGGACCCTTCTGTGGGTTGAACTGAGGATGGACCCAGTGCCTTTAATAGAGTAAAAGACAAGAAATAGCTTTTGCCTTCGTATCCCATTAACTTACACACAAAATATTTATAACTTCCCCTCCCCCCCCAAGAGGTCTCACTGTTTTGTTTTGTTTTTTTACATGCCTGGAACTTAGCCAAGTTGGCCTCAAACTCACAGTCCTCCTGCCTCAGATTCCCAGGTGCTAGAACTACAGGTGTGAAACACAGCGCCCAGCTTTGCCTCATTTAATTCTCTGGCCATGCAAAGCACCTGGCGTATATTATTCTCCAGATGAAGGCACTGATATGCAGTGAAATAGCCTGCTTAGGATTGCCTTTGAAGCTTTCTGTGGCCCAGTCCCAGACTTCCCACATCACATCTGACACCAAAACAATACCATTGACCGACTAATTGGAAAATGTGACCAAATGCCTCCCTGGAGCATCTCAGGAAGGTTCTCAGGACACTCAAGTAGGAGGCAGAATTTCCATGGATTCAGTACTTGTCCAGCCATGCCCCGGATCAAAGACCAGTTACCCTGAAGGAGCCCTTCCTCTTAGCTTTCCCTGTGACATACCTAATCAGTGCCACTGATGGGGGGTTGTCCTGCCTCTTCACGCTGTGCCCATCAATTCACACAGTCCTCAGACTGATTGTGATTCCTCCTGCCCAGCTATGAGGCAAAAAGGCCCTTGTCGCCCACTAAGCCCTGTCTTTGTGACACATAAAAGGGTCACGAACTCCAGGAAAGGGACAGACTCTGTGAGCATCAAGGTCCCATTGCCGCTTTGGCAGACCTTCTTTTAGGTGGAGCACTGTGTCTGGAGGAGGGTTGGAAACCTTGGTGATGAAAGAAGAGACTGCAGTGTGGAAGAGACTGAGAAAGTGGGGTGGTTACCTGTGGAGCACAAAGGACAAAGGGAGCACGACGTGCACCAGACTACACTGAGGCCATGAGTGGCCACCGAGGAAAGGAGACACAGCTTAGAAGGTTTGGGTTCCATAAAAGGCTCCATTCTTCATGTATAGCATTTCCTCCACATGACTAGCTGGTGAGGCAAAGGATCCCTGTCTAGAAGAGAACAGACAAAGATGAGATCCTCAAGGATCAGAGCTCCATGAAAAGGGTTTTTTTTGTTGTTTGTTTTCTTGTTTGTTTGTTTTTTTTTTTTTTTAACGTGACAGAAGTTGGGACAAAACATCATGGCTATTCCTTTCAATGTAAGGTACTTAGAAGTTGTTGGGAGAATGGCAAACTAAAACTGATGCTGTCATCTCCTCAAACATATGTATTGAATGTTTTTATAGATTTTATATGTATGAGCATTTTTGCCTGCGCGCACGCATGTGCACTGTGTGCAGGTCTGGTGCCCTCAGAGACCAGAAGAGGGCACCAGATCTCCTGGTGCCTGAGTTACAGATAGTTGTGATCCACCATCTGGGTGCCGGGAACCAAACTCAGGGCCTCTGTAGGAACAACGAGTTAACTACTGAGCTACCTCTCCAGTCCCTTAATGTTAACTATATGTCGGATACCATACCTTTCCTGGACCTGAGAAAATATTAGTAAATAAAACACACACATGCACACACCTACATGTGTGTGTAAGGATATGGCCTTGCCAAGAAAAAAGGAGAATGAGGAAATGGGGAAGTAAGCCAAGCTGATCTTGAAGAGACGTACATTCCAGGCCACAGAAACAGCAAGTTCAAAGGTCCTGGGGTAGGAATGTACCTGCCGTGAAAACCAACTAGACTGGACAAGAGCAAATGAGAGGGAGACCAAGAGAAGATGAGGTCAGAATGGTAAATGGGGCCAAGTCATCTAGAATTCTTAGGTCATAATAAAGGGTTTGGTTTTTAACTTAATAGCAGAGTTTTGAGCAGAAGAGTAGCATGATCTAACCTGTGTTTAACCATAATCTCTCTGTTTGCTGGGTTGAGAATAAACTGTAGAGAAGAAAGAGTAGAGACAGAAAATCTAGCTAAGAGAATACCCTAACAATCGTACAGAGAGGGTAAGTCATCACGCTGTCAGCATATGTGGTGGTAATTTGAAGATGCAGATTCCACAGACACCTTAAAGCTAGAGGCATCAGTGGTTTTCTCACACTAAATATCAGGTATGAAGGGGTAGAGGATTCAAGGTGAAGGCGAGGTTTTTTTCCCCTCTGGTTAACCAAAAGAGAGTGTCTCTTTTATCTGGATGACAGCGATGAAAACACTAACAGCTGGGTTTGAGCTGTGGGCAAGCAAACACTTACTTCACAGCCGATTAAGTGCGAGGTGCCTATTAGTAACACAAGTAAGGGTGCCGGTGAGCCACTGAGTAGACATGTCTAGTATTGAAGAGGAGAGAGCCCTGGTCTTGAGATGCTATTTAAAGCCGTTAATTAGATGAGATTAGATGAGATCATTGTGGTGTGATGGGGTGTCAAGAGACTAATAAGGCAGCCAGAAGCTAAAATCCTCAAGGAATAAGAGGAGAGGCAGACCTAGAGGGTAGGTGACTGCAACACCTGCCAGGGGTGGTAGAGTCTGATGAGGTGAACAAAAGCTAGAAGGTATTGAAAGAATTTGGAATGACCATGAAAGAGCAGTGAGGGGCAAGGAGGATGCTGATCTTCTGTAGGATCAGACTGCCAAGGTCTTTGCTTATATATCAGCCTTAGCCCAGAGCCTGGGATGAGTCACCAAAGTATTAGTATGAATGAGAGCGATCATCTATTTGCCATCTCTTCATGAATATTTCTGAGGAAATATAAACGGAGGAAAGCCTTCAGTGTCTTGGGATAATTGGGATGTGTGGTCACTGTGTGCATGTGGGATTCCAGCCTACCAGTGCTCCTGCCTCCATTCTCTTGTCCTTGATTTTTCTCTTGGGTAGACAGCCGGTGCCCTCAAGTAGGCCATGCAGGTTTGTGCTCACCCCTCTGAAACGGCTGCATGCCGGACAGTGGTGGGGTTCCAGTGCTAACAGATTGACAGTGAGCTGAGGCTGTCTCCAAGTCTGCAGAAATCCGAACATTATCAGATCACAAGGTGTTAAGGTTGGGGCATGGTTTTCTCATGGGGAAGGGGCATTCCCAAGAAGAACAAAAATCTCTGTTCCTACGTGCTGTTGGGTTAGAGAGAATCTGAGTGTTATTTCCTTGACGGTCTATTTCTCATATGAAGAAAGCTCCCGTCCTCACTCACCTTAGAGGTGAATGACATTTGCCAATTGTGTCCAGCCGGGTACACCTAGCCCTTGGTCCTACCCACCCTTCCGTGTGTTATGTTTCATCCTCCCAGTCCTCAGAACTGGAACATACTGTCCTTTGTCACCTTTGTTTCTGCTGCTATTGTTACCAGGTTCTACGTGAGAACCCAGTAGGCTGGACCGCACCTGCAAGGCCCCTTTCTGCTCTTTGACACCTGCTTTCTTTGTTTCCCATCTACAATGATGACTCTGTAGTGCCCTTAGTGCCTTCAGTGTATAATGCCAACAGTCCGGGGCTCAGAGACGTGAGGTGTCCCCTGGACACTGAAACCTTTGCTTTTCTAGCATCGTGCCCTGACACACTGAGACACAGTTTAGGGATTAACTACAGCTAAGAACTGACCAGAGCTGAGCATTGTGACACATGCCTATAATTCCAGTGCTCTGGGAGGCAAGATAAGAGGATTGGCATGAGTTTGAGACAAGGCTGGGCTATGTTGTAGATATCAAGGCAGCCAGAGCTACACAGCAAGAATGTTGCAAAAAAAAAATGACAAAACTGGCAAGGTTTCTATTTAAAATGCAATAAGTTGGCCTTTCTAACTGCCCATAGTGGAAAAAAAAAAATACTCCAGCTTCCAAAGTGTCTAGCTCTCTTATTAACCACAGCTAAACCTCTGCTTCCCTGAAGTCTCTTCTCCTGCCCCTGAAGACATATGTAGGGTTTACAGAGCAGTTGTCAAGTGTCCATCTGTCCAGCATCCAAACCCCTCCTTAACAGCACCAACATCCACTTGAGTCATTGTCCTGTGTGCTCTCAGTAGGCGGTGGTCCTCAACTTTCTCCTCATCCCACCCACAACTAATTTTCTTTTCTTGAAGGTTGGTAGTACATGAGAGAGGATCTCATGTAGCCCAGACTGGCCTTAAACTTACTTTATAGATAAAGCTGATCTTGAGTTCCTTAATGTTTGAATGAAAATAACCCCCTATAGGCTCATAGGGAGTAGCACTATTAGGTGTGATTTTGTTGGAGTAGGTGTGGCCTTGTTGAAGGAAATACGTCACTGGGGATGGGCTTTGAGGCTTCAAATGCTCAAGCCAGGCCCAGAGTCTTTCTCTTCCTGCTGCCTGAGGATCCAGATGTAGGTTTCTCAGCTCTTTCTCCAGCCCCATGTCTGCCTGCATGCTGCCATGATGATAATGAACTAAACCTCTGAACCTGTAAGCTAGCCCCAATTAAATGTTTTCCTTAATAAGAGTTGCTGTAGTCTTGGAGTCTCTTCACAACAATAGAAACTCTAACTAAGATACGTATCGTCCTGCTTCCATCCCCCAGTGCTGGGATTACAGGTGTGTGCCACCATGCCAGCTTAACTTGGCCAATCTTGCAGTCCTATTTGAAACTTTAAAACAGGATCCAGGAAGGGAAGCTGGAAGTTATTATGGTGAAGCCAGCAGTAACATCTGATCCATACTGTTGCCTCAGATCCACCACGGAACCTTAAGCTGCCCACTTGCATCCTGTTCCCAGGTCCTTTCCACCTGGCTCTTGTACTCCCAATAAATTCCCTTCTATGTAATTAGGCAGGATGGTTCTTTACTGTAGCCTTCACAGACAAGTATGCCTGCCTTGTCTTGTGCCTTATGGGTGGAGGAAGGTGACAAGGGGCCGTCACTGCCTGGCCTTTCATTCCCCACACAGATACTATAAAGATGGCTAAGGTTCAACATTTCTTCTCAGTAGGAGGCTGCTTCCCATGGCAAGACCAACAAAACTGCTGTGTGGAATGCTGTCTTTGAAAACAGGACAAGGTCTAATATCACAGACAGAAAGGGACACAGGGACCTGTTAGCAAAGCAAACCAGAATATCCACTCCTCCCAATTAAGCCCAGAATGTCTTTCAGTGTTCTCTGGAAAGCAAGGATCATAATGTCTTCAGGTTTGGGGTTTCCTGGGGATTAATTAATACATGTTAGCAAAGTGCTTTGATGTTGGAAGAAAACGCTAGCTAAGTGCTAAGCTTTTTGCCAAAAGACAAAGAGGGAGTCAGCACTGGATGGGAAAAATCACAATTTAGGAGTTCCTGGAATTGAGCCCAGTGCTGAGCTTATCCCCGGTGCCGTCAACAGTCATTCAAAGAAGGGACTGGTGGAGTAAGATGGACCTTGCTTCTGCTGCTCCTGCTGGAAACGATTTGGGAACTAGTAATACTTCCACCAATAGAACTAGTCTTGCCTGTTGCCGATGCACTTTGCAGCAAGTAACTCCTAGAGGCCTCTTGCTCAGAAGACGGATGGATCAGCGGCACTCTGCTATGGAAGCCAGTTAGTTGCTGGAGATCTTCACCACTTCCTAGGCCTCATCTCTAGAATACAGACTTGTTTTCTCACTAAGTGATTCCTCCACTCTCTATTGACCACACCATGGAGACCAGAGAAGGTTGACAGCTCTGTATTCAAGGTCCCTGGCTGCAGGCATCAGCTCTTAGGGCCCTTAGCCGTGTATGTTTCTTGAGTAGCATTGACCACAGTTAAACAATAGCTTGCCTACCTCATGCAACACTGACTCATAATTGTAATACACATTTTGGCTTCTTAATAAGCAAAATAGAGAGAAAAAGAGAAAGAGGAGGAATGAGGGGAACAGCCTAAAGAAAACCATGGAGGGTAGTGGGGGGGGGGGGGTAGGACACCAGAAGGGCTTTCTACACCAGGGCCCTGGTGGAGTTCATTATTTCTGTGGAATTATCAGGGGCTATTTAATCAACAGAGTGATGGAGTGGTTGATGGACTGCGCATAGGAGATAAGATGCCAGGTTTGGACCAGTTGAGAGGGAGAGAAAGACACATCAAGTAACAGCTCCTGCCATGCCCCGCACAGGGGTTGCAGACTGAAAACAGTGGCCATGAGCTTGCTGTTTATAAAACTTTAGTCTGTTCATGACATCACAGCCCAAGGCTGAAGCATTAGCATCTTACAAAGTCACTTCAGGGCTACTAGCTGCCTAAGTTTATTTCAGGTGCAAGACAGAGTTTTCTCTTGTCTCTATAACTAGCCCCGGAGTTGGTATAGTTCAAAAGTAGGGCTGAGAGCTGGCGCAGACCTGGCTTCAGACTTCCAGTCTGGTAGTTGCTCCGACAAGTAACCATGAGTCTCTGTCTGCCTGTCTCCTCTCCTCTGCCTCTCTGTCTCTCTCTCTCCCTGTCAGTCTGTCTATCTGTCTCTTCCCCCTCTTTTCCCCCACCCCATGACCGCCGTGTGTGTGTGTGTGTGTGTGTGTGTGTGTGTGTGTGTGTGTGTGTGTGTGTGTGTGTAAGAGAATGCACATGTATGTGTAAGTGGGTGTGAAAGCCAGAGGTCAACTTCAAGTGTCATCCCTCTGGAACCATACACCTTGTCTTTTGAGCCAGGGTCACTCACTAGAACCTAGAACTCAACATTTCGGCTAGGCTGACTGGCCAGCAAGCTCCGGGGACCTGCCTGTCTCCACCTCCCCTGAACTGGGATTACAAAATACCCCCAGCATGGCTGGTTTTTTTGTAGATGGATGCTGGAGATTGATCTTGGGCCCTCATGGTTTCACAGAAAGCACCTTACCAACTGAGCCCTCTCTCCAGTCCCATAAACTATATGATTTTTTTACATCTATAAAGCCATAGCAATAGCGGTGCTATCTTGGAAAACTGTTGTGAAGAACTCGCCTTAATATGCATGGAGTATCCGGCCAGTGTCTGGCTTACAGTAAGCACTCAACATATGCTAACCTAAATGGCTAGAAGGAGTGCGGAAGACTTCAAGCAGCCACTCACCACACACATTAATCAGCAGTCCGTGCAGAACACGGAGGCTGTAGAACGAGTCGGAGAAACCCTCACCTTCAAATGGTTTCGCATCTAGTGGGAAAGCTACTAAATAAAGACTTAATAAACAAAACGAGCAAAGTGCAGTGAGTTCGTGTAAGGCCTGTGCCCTGAACTTGGGCTGAAGGAGTGTGGGGAGAGGGGTGATCAGAGCTATATGGAAAAAATGAAGTTTGGGTGTGCAAATTCCACCAGGACCTCAGGAGCCCTTCCCCCTGCCGTCAGGACTCACATGGTTATTAAGGTGCAGGGAGGTGGGATCAACTTAGACAGGTCTGTGGGTGACAAAAGAGTGGGTGTGGGTGGTTAAGAGTGACTACATTCATACGGTTGGGAGCTGTTTAAAAAAAGAAATGGGACTCTTGACTGAACATTTTCTTTCTCCATTTCTTCTCTTTTTAAAAAAAAAAAAAAAAAAAAAACAGTTCAACAGCTAGAAAGACGTCTAGTTTTCCAGATTCTCGGAACCCTACTGTCTACACCGCATGGGCGTTACCCACCTCCTCTGTGTCCTCCCAGGGTAGCTTTTCAGAAGGTGATCCCCGGCAAAGCAGACCCTTCAAATCTGTCTTTGTGCCTACTGCCGTGGTTAACCCTGCGGGAAGCCCACCTGGCCCAGGGACTTCGGGACAAGGGTCTCTTCGGAAAGGGCGGAACAGCATGAGAAAGAGTAAGTGGTGGCAGAGAGGTATGTGCCTAGAGGTAAATGAAGGGGCTTCCAACTGGGACACACTGGAAGCTTTTCACAAAAACAATTGGTTTTGAGCTGAGCCTCTGCAAAGGTTCAAGTCCCAAGGGATGAGTGCTTTTATTGAGTGTAGCCTAGACCAACTGAAGGCCACTGTCTGGGTCCACTCATACATACATGGTGAAGGGGGTGATACCAAACTGAGTGGCACCGTGTGACTGCATTGTAGCCAAGGGGGTGCTGCTTCTTACTAAGACCAGCTGAAGACTGACGTGGCTGGCTCAATGCTTTTCAGACTGTGGTCTGGAGACACCCCTTGAGCAGGCGGGGCCTAGGGGTAGAAGACAAGATTCTAAAGACAGCATTCAGAACCCCTGTTTTCTACTATGTTAATTTTTTAAAATATTTTTATATTTACTATGTTATTTATGTAATACATGCAGAGACTTTTTTTTTTTTTTTGGTTTTTCAAGACAGGGTTTCTCTGTGAAACAGTTCTGGCTATCCTGGAACTCACTCTGTAGACCAGGCTGGCCTCGAACTCCCAGAGATCCACCTGCCTCTGCCTCCCGAGTGCTGGGATTAAAGGCATGTGCCAGCACCGCCCGGTGAGACTTTTTTTTAAGGCTATGCAAAAGTAAGACTCACATCCTGAACCCACCAGGTCCCAATTTTTTTAAGACTGATAGACACCTTCTAGTCACACTCTGTGCACTGTTCCAAGACTTTCTTTTTTCCCTATATAACATCTCCACTGAGCACTTAGCAGTACATGCAGATCTATCATTAACACCATGCTGTTGTTAATACCTCAACATATTAAACTTCTGCATGAGATTTCATTTGCAGGGAATTCAGAAAAGATCTTGAAACCTCATTGTACAAAACAAGAAGGATTCCTTCCTGCCACGATCCAAGCGTGGGACATACGATTTGTTCTACATCCCCAACTTTAAACTGGCCCTGTAGTCTCTGCTGCCATCTCAACAGATGACTAACCATGAGATGCAACCAACACTGCAGGACAGAAGAGTAGCACAAGCAACAGTATGTCGAAAGGGAAAGTCCCCAAGAACAAAAGAGATCAAGGGTCTTCACTCACCTGCACAGCCTCTAACTGTACCGGTTAGGGTCCACAGACCACCCCACAAAAGACCACCACTCACATATGCAAACGCAAGAGCGTTTATTTCTCCAGAGAAGAATTCCTGCATGCAAGGGTCAGCCACACAACAAAATGGCAACAACTCCTAGAGAAGCTCACAGGCTCCTCTTCTAGACAACCAGGAGGGGATGAGGTCATCCTAAACATGATTGGCTAAGCAAGCAGCGGCCACATTAGTATGTTTCTGATTGGCTGGGGCTGTAAGTGCTGAATCACGCCTGATATGCAATATCTCCCTCCCTGCCTTATCAAAAGCAGAAACTGAAACAGAAACTGAGATCTAAACAGAAACTGAACTGAACTGAAACTCAGGCCTAGTAGAGGCTGGGGCCAGGAGAAGCCCACCATGGCACTACCATGGTCTCTCATACCCACCCGTACCTCCTGTTTCAGCCTTCAGCCCCTTCTTTCTGCCCCCTACCGATTAGTCACCATAACAGCCTTGTACAAGTGACTGTCCTCTTTATTTTCCTCATTTGTAAAATGGAAATAATAATACCCACCTCGTCATCCTCCCTATGTTATACAATATTGGCATAGTATCTCTGTCAGATTTACCGAATAGACTAACCATACAGTGTCTACCACATAACAAGCTCTTGAGAACATGACTTTTTTATTGGTGAAGTAACTTTAATTATTAGTATATAAATCACTTCATTACTATTACAACTAAGCAGATTATCTTTGGTCCATCTATATCATGAGCTTGTCTAGGGTTGAAATGGTCCCTCAGTCTAGACCACTTAGCAACACAAAGAATTGGATTCCACTTATGATAGCTCACTTTTTTTTTTTTTTTTGGCTTTTCAAGACAGGGTTTCTCTGTGTAGCTTTGCGTCTTTCCTAGAACTCGCTTTGGAGACCAGGCTGGCCTTGAACTCACAGAGATCTGCCTGCCTCTGCTTCCCGAGTGCTGGGATTAAAGGCATGCACTACCACCGCCCAGCTGCTCAAATTTTTTTTTATACACTGCCTCTTTATTGCTGTGCAACTCTTGATGGACCTGGAGCTTTGACTGCTTGTGTTGTATGTATATGTAATAAAAGAGCATTAGATCTCTTGAAAATTGGAAACTAACCAGCTAACCAGATAGGCAAGAAGCCAGATTTACCCCACATCCATGGAAGCCAAGGACATGTCTGCTTGGTGTTGTTTTGCTTTCCCTAATTCCAGAAGCTGTCTTTTCTCCCTTTTTCCAAGGTGAGGCAGGTGAAGCTGTCAGTGTCTCCAAAGGCTGGTACAGCTCAGGGGGCTGTTGTGGGGGAGGTGGGGACAGACAAATGTGTAAATGGGAAGGTCAGACTCAGCAAATGCCAACATGCTTGCAGCCGCTGAGAAGACACCTGGGCTCGTTGTCCACCATAACTTCCTGCTTGGTGAAGGTTTACAACCACAACACAGAGTGTGGCTTGGCTCAGGCCCTCTATGGCTTTGATTCAAACATGCGTCCAAGCTGGGCAGTAGTGGTGCACACCTTTAATCCCAGCACTTGGGAGGCAGAGACAAGCAGATCTCTGAGTTCAAAGCCAGCCTGGGCTACAGAGTGAGTGAGTTCCAGGACAACCAGGGCTGTTATGCAGAGAATCCTGTCTTGGAGGGGAAAAAATGTATACAAGAACTGTTAGGAAAGACCATCATCAATAATGTGTGGTTCTTCAAATGCTTGGAGACCTTTTGAGACTGGCCCCACAATGCTTTGCAAGAGTAACTCCTAGTCTTTTCTCCAAAGGCAAGGAGCCTCCCATTTCCTTGGTCATCTATAGAACTTACGCCTAAGGGATGGGACCTCCTCCTTAGAGTCTCTTGGGGAGGACTTGGTTTCCATTAACTGAGAAAGGACTGTCTCAGTAAGGCACAAACCCACACTGTCGGACTTTCACATTGCTCTGTCCGTCACATAATAGTGACAGCCAGTAAACATCTGGCAGTTTGCACATCTCATAAGACGTAGTCTGCGTTGTGGTTGGGAACCTTCTCTGAGCAGGAAGTAAATGCGGACAATGAGTCCAGGTAGTGTTCTCAGCTGCCCCACCCCCACACTTAAAGTTTCTATTAACCATTTCTTCAGCAAGCGAATGGCGGTGGCCTCCTCTCCCTCTTCAGCTTTCCTTCTCTGCTGTCTGCTCACTTTGTGTTCCTCGCTTTCTTCTTCTTCTTCAGTCTGCCAGCCTCTGTGTCTGCTTCTCACTGTGAAACTTGGTGTGTCTGTTTCCCTAGCCATCCTAAAGGGCTAGAGGAAGAGAGAAGGTGCGGGGGGAGGGGGGGGGGGTAGACACTCGTAAATTGAAGCAGCACACCTTTAGATACCTCACACAGCATTCAGCTAGACATTTACCTGCTGCCAGCAATAGCAAATAGCACTAAAAAAAAAAAAAGAAGAAAGAATAAGTCACATTTGAAAGACCCCAGGAGTGTGTGAGTCCAGTCACATTAGGAAAGCCCTTACCTGTCTATTCTGGGAGATCGGGACATGTTGCATACCCAGCCCACATGCAACCTGCTGATGCCTGCTCTCTCATCCCCCAGATGGATCCTTGCAGAGAGCAGTCCACTCAGGAATCCCCACTTTCACGGTGGGATCCCTCAGGCGCAGTCCCACCGTGGTGATCCGGCCTCAGAAGCTCCAGTTCTGTCGGCCACAGGGAATGACCTCTTCCCCAACACCCATGATGGTGGACGTGGGGTCTAAACCCATCTCCACTGGGGAGCCTGCCCCGACCTGCATCGGCAGAGGTGGCAAGACCAGGAGTCACTCGGCAGGCAGTTCCCTCATCCTGGAAGGCAAAGAAGTGCCCGTCAAGAGTGAGCCGCCACCCAAGCCGCCTGCGTCGGCCCCACCCTCGATCTTAGTGAAACCAGAAAATTCAAAAAATGGCATCGAAAAGGTAGGAATGGAGTGACATTGGGAGCCTGACCCTTTAGCCTCCCAGAATTGCACACCACGGACATTGCCAACCACACTGGCAGCCGCCAATAAGATCTTCACACACAACACACCCCTACCCACTCACACCTTCTCCTTGATAAACATACTCCTCGTTCCCTTGACACATGCTTCTTTTATGATCCAGAAATGGCCTGGAGAAAACATGACTTGATTTGAATTACCACTCTGGTTAGGTGCCTCTGGCCAAAACACTTCACCCTTCTGGGGCTTTGTTGATTCATTCATTATTTACTTATTTGCCTATTCATAGAAATAATAAGATAGGGACTAGAGAGATGGCTCAGCAGTTAAGAGTACTTACTGCTCTTATAGAGGACCTGGATTCAGTACCTAGCACCCTTGTGGTGACTCAGAACCACCCACAACTCCAGTTCCAGATTTGATGCCTCCCCCTGACCTCTGCAGGCACACACATGGTGCACATACAGACATGCAAAACAAAACACACCTATAAACATAAAATAAATCTAAAAAAATGTTAGGTAAATAAAAGTAAACCTAAAAGTCTAATGGCCGTGCAAGGGCTTGGAGATGACATTATATAAAACGTGCGGTACTTACACCGGGCTTGATACATACTTTTTCATGAGATGACAGGAACAACTAAGACAAGGGAGAATCTAAGTGACGTCAAAGTCACATCGAATGATAATTCTAACTGCTAACTTATTGGGACAGCTGTGATGTTCATCAGATCTGTTAGCATCTAGTCTGGAGATTTTTGTGCTAGAAGACATGGATTTTTATAAGATCCTTGAAACAAGAGAGATGATGAAAAGGAGAAGGTGACATTAAAGGAATCAGGTGATGGTCATCACAATCCTTCAGCTTACTGAGCATCACCACACTCATCAGTCATCTCCCCCTCACTACCATCCTCACCACCGTCCCACCATCACCCACTCCCTACAAAATGGATGGGATGGAGTTCCCTCCTATTTGTTAAGCCTTTACTAACTACTAAATATGCTAACAGACACCATGCACAGAATTCCATGTGTTCCATCTCATTAAACCTCGATAACAACCCTCTGAGGTAGGTATTATTTTCATCCTCATTTAGAATGAGGAAGCAGAGGCTTGGGGAGTTAAACGACATTGCCCAAAGCCACACAGCTGACATCTGTATCCAATAGGAAAGCCCAGGTTCTTTCCACGAAGCTTGTGCAGAAATGCATTTGGAAAAGCTCATGGTGAATGGCAGAAGGTTTGAGAGTGTCTATTCCAACTTCCGATGTTCGTGCAATCTAAAGGATTCCATAACCCAGTTGTCCAATATCCCAAGTCATCAGACACAACCCCCAAACTCCGAAGTCCCAAGCTCCCACTGCAAACAGTGAGAATCAGAAAGTATGGGAAACTTGGGGACAAAAAGGAGAGAATTTCGTGGCACAAAGAAGTAATTCCTAAGAAGTACCATAGAAAGAACACTTTATTAATCCCTGGGTCAGTGACTAGCTAAAATAAACACCTGCAGTTGCCAAGCAAGATGCACAACTGCCTAGGAGACAGGAAATGCAGCGAAGAGAGATGGGGCTTCCAGCAAACTGGAGACACTGCCTCATATAAAGGGAGCTACTCCTCAGCTCAGCCAGGTGTCGCCAGTATTGATAGGCCCAGAGTTCCAGATCTCAGGTTACTTCTGATGTTTCCGTTTAGGTTTTGTTGGGGTTTTGAGACAAATTTTCACTATGTAGTTCAAACTGGTCTGAAACTCACAATCCCCCTGTCTCAGCCTCCAAGTGCCTGTGCTACCACACTTGACTCTGAATCTTCCATCTTTTAAAGACACACATGATATGCTGGTCTGTATATTTGTCTCTGGTCTGTCTGTATATTTGTCTCATGGTCTTAATGAATGGGGATGTCAGTCAATGCTCTGAAGACTAGATGGTAACAGCAGGTGTCCAGGGAACCAGGTCTGTGATGGGCACTCTTAAGGCAATTTTGGAGACCTCTAAGAGGAGTCTTCAGGAGAACTGATGAGGAAGAGCCAGGCCTTGAGATAGACCTTAAGGAAAAGCAGAGGGGAGAGAGGAAAGGTGAACTTGTGTTTTCTAGAAGGTCCTTTTGAAGACCACTGCTGACTCTGTCTCCCAAATTATTCACTCTTATTCTTAAATCCTTCTGCCTCAAGAAAGGCCTCCTTGAGGAGCTGCCTATTAGATGCTACTCCACTGCCTCAGCGGGTTACTCTTCTCTCATCACAGCACTGGTTATAATTTCCCAATGGCCAGTGTGGGTTTGTTCACTCAGATCAACCATACTTCACAGGGTACATTACATGATGCACAGTAGACACACATGCTGGCTGAATAGCACCACGTAAATTGGCATTTTGAGTGGAGACAACTGTAGAGAAAGCACACAACTCTTATCAAGGGGGTGGGGCCAGAGTACACATCTCACCCACAGTCCTCGGCTCTGCTTTCTATTTTACAGCAAGTCAAAACCGTGAGGTTTCAGAATTACAGCCCTCCTCCCACCAAACATCATACCTCCCATCCCACCTCTGGAAAGCACGAACAGCCAACCACCTTGAAGGGGTCCCAGCCTGAAGCAGTCCCCTCAGGAGCAGAGATGACTATCCTATTCGCCCATCGAAGTGGCTGCCACTCTGGACAACAGATGGACCTTCGGAAAAAGTCAGCTACGGGCAAGACCATGCCCCCAGTGTCCGCTTCTTCATCCACACAGACCGTATTTGCGAGCAAATGATTCTTTTTGCATGGCTTTTCTTAGACACAAAAGAGGTGAATTACATGTAAATACAGCCTGCCTCCACTGCAACGCATCCTTCTGTTCTTCGAAGGATGAGTCTCCCTCATCTCCCATTTTAACCTGAAGGAATGGGAAGTGGAAACTCCTGCCTGGGTTGGTTGGCTTTTTCTTCCCACCCCACCCCCGCCCTCAGGGCAGGGTTTCTCTGTGTAGCAGTCCTGGCTGTCCTGGATCTCGCTCTGTAGACCAGGCTGGCCTTGAACTCACAGAGATCGGCCTGCCTCGGCCTCTCGAGTGCTGGGATTAAAGGCGTGCGCCACCACCACCCAGCATTTTTCTGAACTTAGTGATTTGATAACAGCCAAAGAGTAGGGAAATGTTGATGTCTGTGCCTTCCGAGTGCAGGGTTTGGCCTCTCATCCTGTGTGCTCAGTGTAAAATGTCTTTGTATCCTAGGACAGCCAGAGGATGGCAGTGCTGAAATTGTTCTCAGGGCCTCTTAAACCTCATCACCATCCCGCTCTCTTATCATCATACTGGAAAAGCCTCTGCCATCTTCTGAGGCTGAATCTTTTTCATTCCCGAGTCACCACTGCAGCTGCAAAGGGGGAACTGGGGGGCGGGAGGGCGGGGCTATGGTACGAGATGGACGTATTGAACATTATAAGAACCCACTAAAACTGAAGGGAGTGACTTTCTGAGTTTGCTACAAACAAGGCCAGAGAGAATGCTGACTACCAAATGCCAAAAGATTATCACGCGTTAAGCTTCTTGGCCTGTTTCTTCCCATATATTTCTACACACTAGATAAGCAGGGAGCATGGAAAGGCAGATAAGGGATGTGTGTGGTATTATAGACTTTTCATCCTTCCCCCTCAAAGCAAAATGTGCTTCAAAGCAACCTTGAATGGGCAGTGAGTTTAGATCTATGTTCTGATTCCGTTCCAACATTTTTGTTCTCCCTGGCTCCTAATCATTTGGGGCAGATGACTCATTTCCCCTATGGGACAATGGGGGAGGGCAAGAAGGGGTGTTCTTGGAGGAGAGCTGCGACCAAAGGAAGTGGACAGAGAAGACTTGAGAAGGAAAGGGAGATAGGAGGAATAAAGGAAGTATCATGCATGCAACAAATACAGAAGAGCCGGGCAGGAAGGAGGAAAGAGTGAACTTCTCAAGGGAGGATATAAAACAGGTGTGGTGGAAGCCATGTTTACAGCATTTACAAAAAGGGGAAAGGGGGCAGAGTCTGCCATGGAGAAAGGGTCAAAACAAAGTGACTCCACACTGGGTGGACTGGAGTGAGCAGGTCCAGCCCAGGAGCCTTGTGAACAGGGCGGGAGGAGCAGGGGAGGCAGCCCTAAGAGTCAGGACCCCGCTCTAAGACAGCCCATTAGTTCTCATTAAATGTAATTGTTGTGACTTAACATTCATCACAGGCCCATCAGTGTGGACACTTTGATGCATAAATGCCATTTGCTACTAAGGCTGGGTGCCACTTAAGAAAAAAAAAAAAAAGGCAGGTCTAATTAGCCGTTTACCCGCAGACAGTTCTTGCCGGTCTCTGGCTTGCGAATATACATCTTTTACCCACCCACACACTTGGCAAACTGAGTTATCTGTAGGCTTTTCCAGACATTAATAGAATAAAACAAAACCATAATCCTGCCAAGGAATACGACACGTGTGCCAGAGTTTTGGAGCTGGTGAAGCCCACAGTAGCATGGTACTCTTGCATTTCTGTGAGATTGTGATTCACGTCTACACCATGAAATCAGCATGCTCAACTCTGTGCCTTCTTGACTCAGGACAGCCATCCAGATGGAGAAATGGTCCAGTCACAAGGACAGAAACACACTATGAATTGTCCAAGTGTGAGCACCTGTGCCCCACCTTTACCCCAGAAAAGCTTTCTCATTAAGTGTAGCAAGTCCCTCTGTACCCAGAGTAGCAAATACCCACCTAATGAGCCAGCTAATTCTTTAGCCCATTCTTCGGTGGCAACAGGTCCAGTTAATTTTTTTTTAATGTTTGTGGCTATCAAGTAGATTGTTTAAAGGGCAGCAGAGAAGAATGTCTATGAAATAGAAATGCATATGGAACATGAAACAGAAGGTTTTCACTTCCCACTCTCTCTACAGGATAACCTCCCTGAGACATGAGCATAGCTACAAGGCTGGCCACCTCCATGGCACCCACCGAGCCTCCCATCCATTCTCACAGTCAATTGTCTCCCAAAGCATACCACAAGAGCTTTGTGAGTGCTTGAGTGGGGTGGGCTGATAGTTCTAAGTAAAAGTTGATTTCATGAACACCTTTTTTTAATGAAAATGGAAACTTTATTCATGTATCAGCTCTACCATAACATTGATAAGTATATTCTGACAGTTGATTGTAAACAAAAGCCTATTGTGTTTTCTCCAGGTACATATGTATTTTATATATATATATATATATATATATATATATATATATATATATATATATATATATATATATATATACACACACACTTTTTCTTTAGTTTTTCAAGACAGGGTTTCTCTGTGTTGCTTTGCACCTTTCCTGGAACTCGCTTTGGAGACCAGGCTGGCCTCGAACTCACAGAGATCCGCCTGCCTCTGCCTCCCAAGGGCTGGGATTAAAGGCGTGCGCCACCACCCGCCCGGCCTTCTCCAGGTATATTTTTTTAATGTTCTCTCATGCATTACCTTCTGACAACAGTTTCTCCTTCCTCTACTCCTCCCAGTTCCCAGCACACACACACACCTCCCCTCTCCCTCAGATCCACTCTTCCTCTGTTTCCCCTCAGAAAAGGGCAGGCCCCCCAGGGATATCAATCGAACACAACGCATTACGTTACAATAAGACTAGGCACAAACCTTCATATCAAGGCTGATTGAGTCAAGGGGTCCAGTGGAGAAAAAGGGCCCCAAGAGCAGGCCAAAGAGTCAGAGACAATCTCCACTCCTATTAGAAGTCCCACAAGAGCAGCAAGCTACACAACCATAACATATATGCAGAGGACCAAGGTCAGACCCATACAGGATCTCTGAGTGTCGCTCCAGTCTCTGTGAGCCCCTAGCAGCCCTGGTGAGTTGATTCTGTGGGGAGCATTCTTCACAAGCATCTTCCACTCCTTTATTCCACCAACATGTGTCTGACATTTACTTCCACGCTGGATACAGCAATGAGAATCACACACTCATCTTTTTCTACACTTACAGTAAAACTCCGTGGGGCAACAAAACTGTTTCAATTATAGAGCCAAGGAAAGGGAAACTTGAAAAATGGCCATAGACTGGCTGAGGCAAGGCTGAGAACTCAAACGATCTGATGGCAAAGTCCAGCTGGGGACTGTAGTATATGAACCAAAAGGCCACCCTTCACTCCAGGACAATGAATGAGTCCCAAATGCTAGCAGCAACATAGTGCAATTTTGTCTAGAAATTCAGAAAAGAAGCAGGATCTGCTGGACAGAGTTCAGGGTTCTGTTTATCACTTTCTGGGCAGGCTATCCCACTTAATCACACAGGCATTCCTTTTCATCAATAGGGGTGCAGGCCAATCTCACTGCACTATTGTGGAGATTTCCTGAAATAAGAAAACAACTTAAATGATGCTTAATGAATGCCTACAACTGCTAGACTTGGTTGCTTTTAAAAAAAATGGGACTGCTGAACCTGGTGGCATACACCTTTAATCCCAGCACTTGGGGAGGCAGAGACAGGAAGATCTCTATATGAGTTCAAGACTAGCTTGGTCTACATAGCAAGTTCCAGGCCAGGCAAAGCTAGATAGTGAGACCCTGTCTCAAAACACACAAACAAAATCAACAACAACAACAACAAAAAAGGACTTTAAAATTTCAGGTGGGACTGTCTAAAACAAAGGTCTGTCCAGCACTGTGGAGTTAAAAGGAAATCCTCACAGCCTGGTCTCAGAGCTCAGAACACAGTCTGAAGCCTGCAGAAAAGGCAAGAGAAAGAATGAGCAACAGAGAAATGGGTTTCTGAGTAGAGGGAAAGCTTTGGCAACTCAGTGGAGCCATCAAGCCAAGCTCCGCTGACAATTCTGCCCCTTAGTAGAACATTCCAGAAAGCCAACACTCCAAGTCTGAAGCGGAAATTCCTGCCTGTACACACACCTCCCAGCTATGCATCAGAAGCCCTGGAAGGCGCCCCGTTGTTGCTTCAGGCTCAGACCCTGGCACCAAAGGGGTGAAGGGTAGGATTTGTTTGGAGGAAACGGAAGGACAGTTCAGAAATGACAGTGGACCACGCCTGAGGGCCATATTGCGGAAAAAGCTAAACAGCATCAAAATCCTCCATCAGGGCTCACCTTCCTTTCTCGCATGGGTTCACCCTCACCCCCACCCTTCACCCATCTCCGAGGTAGGGCTCTTGGAACAGAAGAATTTGAAGCAGTGTCGACTTGGTGAGTCAAAAAACTGACCCAGTGACTCCGAGTCTCAGTATCTCTTGAAAAGTCAGAATGTCCACCCACACCAGGTCTACTGTGTTGCAGCAGCCTAAAACAGCTGGGTCAGGATCAAGGTGGCTTCAATGAAAGAGCCACAGATCTGTCAGCTGGCCAGTCCCACAAGCCTGTTCCCCTCATGCACATGATCCATGCTTGGTTTAGGCATACTTCCCCCTTGGATGCCATCCCTGAAGTCATAAACCCCTCTAAAGTTAGAGCTGAATTACTAAAGATGAGTTGCCCTAGGATTCTCAGATCTCCCTAGTATAGTGGTCTTAATCTGGGACCTTGAGAGTCCTAGTCAGCAATCTTTAGGTGAAAACCAGGCACTCTTAAGTTTTTAACAAGCCCCCCAAGTGGCTCAGAAGAACATAAAGGAAGAGGAGCTCCTCCACCTCTGTCATGGGCAGGAGCATGGCTACACCAGTTCTTAGAACATTGAAATAGGTCTGCATCAATTACTAAATGGCAGATGCTCAAAACTCCTGGCAGCTCCTCCCCATCCCACACCCAGATTTTCCCCCCAGACCCTCTCCTCCCCTCCACCACCCAGCATCTAGCCAGACCCATGGAGTTCTCTGCCATCAATCCCTTCTCCATTCTGATTGGCTAGTGCCTTGGTCTGGTTACTGAAAGCCTGGCTGTTGCACTGTGATACAGAACAGGGCCAAAGAGGTCACTTGAAAGGAGAGAACACTGCCAGAAAGCCCTGGAGTCTTCCCAACCCCATCCTGGCTCAGGAAAGAAGCTGACTAGGTGAAGGTGACCTACGCCCCTCAGCCTGCCTCTTCCAGCTAACACTGCAGAGGCATAAGCAATGCTTGTGTGCTTCCCAGCAACTCCTCACACATGGTATTGGCAGGTGTGGAAATCATCTCAAAGATGACCAGGCATCCACCTTTATCCTTTTCACCTCTGCCAGCCACAGACAGACCTGCCACACACCTCCAGACTCCCTGGGAAATGAGGAGCTGGGACAAGAAGGATGGCAAATATGCCCTCCCAGCTCCCCTGCCAAGACCACACATTTGGCAAAATGGCATCACCAACAATGGATTCACTGATGTTTCCCTTGTTTAAGCCTCGAAAGGAAAAGACTCCAGTCTTCCCTTTTGTTGAGAGAATATTCACAGGTCCAGCCACTTCTGATATGACTATGAAAGACGGTTGCTTAGGGTATGTGTTTGGGAGGAAGGACTAAACCGGTTAGCACCGGAGATTCTTGCGGCAGGTTGGCGTCAGTGGGGATAAATCGCGCAAGGACATTTTGCTTAAAATAGAGCAATCGTAAATGATCAAGCTGTCTGCCAGAGTTATGTCCTAGACCAGAGCAGAAACAAAAATGTTCCCAGGAGGCCCTCAGTCCACTGATCTACACTTTGACAAATAGAAAACTGCAGAGGTGAGATCCAGGGTACACCTTCAAATAAAACACCAGGGAAGTGGGGAGCAGGAAGCAGTATGGCAGCCAGTGGAGTTATCCATCAGTCACTTTGGGCCATGCTTTTAGAAGGGATAGGGACACACTAGTTAATAGGAGACAAAAACAGATATGGTTTGCACGGTGTGGGATTTCTTGTTTCTAGATTGGGGCTTCTTTTGTTATTTCCCCTTTTTAATTATTAAATGTTACACATATACGAAATAGATTTAAACCATTTTATGATTAGATGAGATCATAAAACAACCGTATCTGTACACAGCTTTTTAAAGCACAGTAATTGCCAATACTACTGAGGTCCCACTGTGTGCCTCTTCCCTCCTTTCTCCCTCCCAACCACAGTCCCTGAGTTCCATGCTTATCTTTGCCTTGTAATTTTCCCACATACGGGGTGAGGGTGGTATATGGAATTCTCAGCACTCCCTGCAGAGATGCTCAGTAAACAGTCAAATGAATACCGCAACACAATGCTGTAAACATTCCGAGTATTTGCAGCCCCATCTGGCTCCTGCCACTGGGGTTCCAAGGCTTTGATTTGTCGCTGGGAACAGATGAACCGACGTGTCTGGTTTTGAGATGATGCTAGCATGGGGATTTTTCAAGAACTCTTCCAAGAACAGCTGTTTGTTGTTTCTAAGTTGAAGCAATGCCTACATTGTTTGAGAATGGGATTTTGGGGCACCTCTCTTCTGAGCCTTTGCCTAGCACCTCTGAGTAGGCAACTAGGGAAACGAAAAGAATCTGAAATTAAAAGTGTCTTGGTGGTGGTGGTAGTGCTGCTGCTGCTGCTGCTACTGCTACTGAGATGATGATGATGACGGACGATCTGATGCTGATGTTGATCTCAATGATAACAATAACATCAACAAATTCCCATAAGAACCCTGTGAAGTATGCAAAAAAAATCTGTTTTGGTTCCCAAACTGCAGATCAGAAGACTGAGACGCAGAATGTTGTGGTTTCTTGTGTAAGGTCAAAAAATCAGTTGGATATAGAGTGGAAACTAAAAAAAAAAAAAAAGCAAAACAAAACAAAGAACAAACAAAAACCGCATCCAATGAGAGGATTGTCGTCATCATTTACTCAGCACCTGCAATACGCAAAGGGTTTTACGTGTTTCCATGCATTCCATCTAAACCTACCCTGCCCTATGAGAGGTGTTGCTTTGATATCACACCATTGTAGAGAGTGGAACTAAGGCTTAGGGTTCAAATGACTTGTTCAAGGCCACAAGGACCATAATACAAGCCCTAAACCCAAGCCTCTATCTTAAATCACAGCCTCCCTTATCTTCAATGGCAGCTACACACACACACACTTCTAATATAGTTGAGGTTGGAAAAGATAGACCAAGGGTCAGTGACGCTGGGATCACTAAGATTAGGCCAG